AGGAGTTGCTGATTGACTAGCTTTGATAGCTCATGGCTGAACCAGAATGAGAAACTTCTTTGGGGAGGAAAATATTCATTGTCTCTGGTTTGTCTGTGCCTGGTTCATTGTTTGTGTTTAGTCACCCCAGATTGCTCAGGGCCATTCTAGTTTTAGCCCTCAACATCCTGTGCCCCAGGAAGCCCCTCAGCCCTCAACAAACTGGATGGTTGGTCACCTACCACTAGGATTCCCCAGTTTGAAATATGCCCTTTACACTTGAGACAAGATGCTTCATGAATACTCTCGTTCCAAACTCTTGCCTCTGTCCTGCTGCCTTGGACACACAGGCTCACATGAGTCACACCGTCATTATCTGATTCCCTGTTTCCCCAGGTTGTATCAGGACATATAAATTATTGGTCCACAGTTCCTCCAGACTTAACAGCCTGTTGGAAAAGGTTCTCATCCTCTTCTCTCAGTTTTGTGACCTTCACAATTATTGCTCTTCTTGACATTCTTACTTTTCTTTAACCAGCAAAGGGCCTCGGTAGACACACGTACTTTCAACCACAGGAAGCTGAATTTCAGATATTGCTGACTTCTGCCTTCTGAAGCCTCGTGGAATGATCAGCATTTAATGCATTTTTTGCTACTGTATTGGATTATCATTCGTGGAAAGCAACAGCTGAGGAAAGTTCCTGGTACATGAGTTCCTTACACCTTGTTATACTCCCACAGTCATAATTGCTTCTTTCACACTGACATCTTCAACCCTTCCACCAGTACTTGCACCCAGCATGGCCTCACCATCTGCTCATGTGACACTAACATTATGGCCTCCCTCCATGCATTCCTAAATGGAGCTGAGGAAGGCAACAGAGATGGCAAGTGTGCCAGCTGGCACCAGTGACACAAACATAGACAGTGATAAATCATGTCTCAGGACAGGGAGGAAGAAGGGAGTATGTGGATGGCTAATTGTGTGTCATCATCAGTGCAGCGAGATGGATCTCTCCGCTCGTGGAGACAGAATCAATGCATGTTGTTTCTGTTCCTGCAGTATGTGCATCAGTTTCCTTTCAAAATATGGTCTCAGGAGAATGTTCAACAGAAAATCAACTAGAAATCAAAATCTGAGTTGTTCTATTTTTGCACCTGTGCATCTCTAAATAGCATTATTGGGGGACTTTCCAGGGAGTTTGAGGATTGCTTGAAAATGACAGGGAAGGCCAGGCACCGATGGCTCACGCCTGTAATCCCAGCACTTTGGGAGGCTGAGATGGGTGGATCACTTGAGGTCAAGAGTTTGAGACCAGCCTGGTCAACATGATGAACCCTTGTCTCTACTAAAAATACAAAAAATTAGTCGGGCGTGATGGCATGCACCTGTAATCCCAGCTACTGGGGAGGCGGAGGTGGCAGTGAGCTGAGATCCTGCCACTGCACTCCAGCAGTGGAAGACAGAATGAGACCCTGTCTCGAAAGAAAGAAAGAAAGAAAGAAAGAAAAGAAAGAAAGAAAGAAAGAGAAAGAAAGAAAGAAAGAAAGAAAGAAAGAAAGAAAGAAAGAAAGAGAAAGAGAAGAGAAAGAGAAAAAGAGAAAGAGAAAGAGAAAGAGAAAGAGAAAGAGAAAGAGAAAGAGAGAGAGAGAGAGAGAGAGAGAGGGAGGGAGGGAGGGAGGGAGGGAGGGAGGGAGGGAAGGAAGGAAGGAAGGAAGGAAGGAAGGAAGGAAGGAAAGGAAGGAAGGAAAGGAAGGAAGGAAGGAAGGAAAGAGAGAGAGAGAGAAAGAGGGAGGGAGGGAAGAAGGAAGGGAAAAATGACAGGGAAGAGTTTCTGGGGGCTCGAGGGAAGAGCCAAGGCAAGCCAAGTCATGCTGGGGGGTCAGTTCTGTCACATAAGCTGCTGAAGCTCCCACCTACCACTACTACCCTTTGGGTCTCCAAGGTTCTTTACTTTATGTCCTGCAAATTTTTATCAACTTTTAAGTTATTCAGTTCTCTCTGAATGCTGCTTCCAGGATTAAATCAACTAGGCAACTAGTCAAGATTTATTCTATAGATCTCAAATGTAGGCATGTAATGCTTTCTTTGTTGTTAGATCTTCATTGATTTCAGTGTATTTGGTGTTAAGATAGTTCCATTTTCAGAGTTTCCATTCCTTGTGTTTGTCTTGAGTTCTTTTCCTAGATATAAGTTTTTGCTTTCCTTTACATCATTTTCACCTTTTTTTGAAAAAGGAAGTGGTAGCACAAAACTACCCATAAAATACAATCCTCTTCCCACAAAAGAGGAAGGTAGATGTCATTTTGGTTTTTATTTTTTGTCCAGAAACCCCCATAGATCTTGCCTATTCCCAAGCAGCTATCTCCCAAGAGCTGATGAAGCCGGGAGAGAGAAAACTGTTTCCAGCCACATGGATGAGACACACAAAAATCCCAGATCAGCCCTGTACAGGGGCACAGACAGAACTCCAGAGGCAGAGCCTTAAAACTGTTAGAAGCCTGGTGTTATTTCATCTTCAAAACATTAAGTCAACTGGCTAGGTTCCTTTCCATCAGGTCAACTCACTTAACCAGTCAAGCATAAAAGAAACAAACTTTATAGCTTTGATTTTATAAACTAGCTGCAATCAAGAGAACCTATTAGCAGGGGTAGCTTTGGAGTATCTTTCTCAATCTTATAGGAAATCTTCTCTGTTGCTATAAGGAAAATAAACCAATTACTTCAAACAGCAGAGAAGGCTGGCATAAAGGTTGGTGATTTATATGTGGCCCCAATAAACAACTCCAGCATGGGAAAACACATGGAAGTGTCCAGAGATTACTGGACAGTCCAAAGTTATGATTGGAGATCCACATCTCTGGGAGCAGAAAATGCTAGATACTAGAAGGATGTAATCCATAAACAGCCAGAAACAAGTCGTGTATAAGGGCTAGTGAATGGAGAGATGATTTGTGACCTAACTGGAATAAAAGGAAAGGTGGCAATGGATGTAGTCAAAAGGTAAACACCTTTAGATCAGATGGTTAGAAATTTGTACTTGAAGCTGGGCACAGTGGCTCATGCCTGTATAATCCCAGCACTTTGGAAGGCCGAGGTGGGTGGATCACCTGAGGTCAGGAGTTCGAAACCAGCCTGAACAACATGTTGAAACCCCATCTCTACTAAAAATACAAAAATTAGCCAGGCGTGGTGGTGTACACCTGTAATCCTGGCTACTCAGGAGGCCAAGGCAGGAGAATCACTTGAACCCAGGAGGCGGAGGTTGCAGTGAGCTGAGATCATGCCACTGTACTTCAGCCTGTGCAACAGAGCGAGACTCCGTCTCAAAAATAAAACCAAACCAAACAGAAGTTTGTACCTGAGACACATTATAACAGAGATACCAAAGAGGAAAGGCATCAAAAGAGGAGAAATTGGAAGGACAGGGAAGATTCTTAATTCAAATGACCCTTAAAGATAAATGATGCTATCTGCTACTGTAGGGAAGAGTTGCAGAATTACTATCCCAGAAGTAGAGGCTGTGCTGGTTCCAGAGAATGGTTTACAGTGGGGCAGAAGGTAAAGGCTGTGCCTCAATGTTGTGGCTAAAGCAATGGATAGGAAAATGGATGAGAATGCCAAAAAATGCCTCGCTGTGCTGGAGTTTAGCTACTTTGCCTCCCCAGTCACTCTCCACCTTTCCGTATAAGATGCAGTTAGATACTGATACAACTCAGCTTTTGCTTTTTTCCTACAGATCAGGAAATGTGAGTTTCTAGTCCTGGCTTTAACACTAACCAGCTGTGTGGCCTTGGATTAGTCATTCCAGGGCTGAAATAAGAACTTCAGGCTTCTTCAGCCCTGAAAAGATTATGATTTCCCTTCACTGCCTTATATGTACTTCAAAATACAAACAACTTTAAGCCATAGGTATCTAAAGATATCCTACCAAGTTCTAATGTTTTTTGCATAACTTTGATACCTTTAAACAAATCAACATTTAAAAATATATTTTCTTCATTTTAGTTTCCCTATTTTGTTAATGCTCAATCTAAGCACATGTTTAGTTTAATTTTTGGATAATCAGGCAGTGGTCAGTTCCACTTTTCTCATCTATGAAATAAAGGTGTCAGACAGGAAGAACTCTAAGATCTCCCCCAGCTTAAGTTTCTGTAATTTCATGACCTCAGATATATTTTCTATCTGACTTTATCACCATCTTGGCATTGGTGATTTCCAAATATGAATGGAAAAAAATGTTACCTTTCCACATCCCCTCAATTCCACATACCTGCTAAAAACTATAAACCTCGGTGAGTGTCTAGGACATCTGAGTCAAAACAAAAGGATAACTGTGTCTTTTTTAATGTCTAAATCTTACGAAGGGTATATTTCTATAATAAGATACAATCATCAGCAAAGTCCTTGACTTACTGGCAGAACCCATTTTGGAAAAACATAAAAGTTATGACTGATGTAGGATACCTGCCAATAACTTAGGGTATTGAAATTTCCCTTAACCCATCTAGGATTTAGCTTTCCTGCTAATTTCTTCATTTGTCCATTCCTTCGTTTACTCATGATTTACCTGCCTTTGATATGTCATAAGGTGAGTCTACCTGTAATATTATATGAAATTGCTCATGAACAGTTCTCACATCTATGTCTTGACAACTCTCTTGCCACTGCCTTTTGACTTTTCACCTCTGTCCTAAATGGCTATAGTGCCTTGGTTCCCATGCATACGCTGAGACTCTGAGAGGGTGGCAGCAGAGGCTGAAGCTCTCTACAAGCCTGGCTGGGATCTGCCTTTCAGATGGGAGCTGCTCATTATTTGCTGCAAGGTTTATAGAACAGATGTTACAAGGCAGACAAGCAAGCACACACTCCCAGAGCACGCTGCGCCAGGCACGCACACACTCGCCAATACCAATATCAGGAGAGCCGCTGCTGGGGTGATGGAGGGAGTGTGCTCTGAGGGGCAAGGGCTGCTCCGAAGCCCTGCTAATGTCTCTGTGTGGCCATGCTGTATTTTCAGCTTGTCATCATGGCTGGGACAGTGCTGCTTGCCTACTACTTCGAATGCACTGACACTTTTCAGGTGCATATCCAAGGATTCTTCTGTCAGGACGGAGACTTAATGAAGCCTTACCCAGGGACAGAAGAAGAAAGCTTCATCACCCCTCTGGTGCTCTATTGTGTGCTGGCTGCCACCCCAACTGCTATTGTAAGTACAGAAATAGACTTTCCTCTTTATTGTCAGATACCCAAGAATATTTCCTGTCTGCTTTTTCTCCTCTTTCTTCTCTTCCTCAGCATTCACCAGCAGCTTTATCAGTGGCATCCTATTTCAGCCAAAACAGAGTGAATGGAGCTCTGCAGAAAAACTCATTAAAATGGGTTTTGTCTTATAGAGGTGGCTTTGGTTTTTCGGTATCTGAATTTTAAAAAGACGGTTGTTTTTAAAAGCATGTGAGAATGTTATAAATCAACAGGTATGACTGGCTAATGTGTTAAGAACAGCTATTGTCCTCTTGAAAAAATATGCTATGAGTTGCATGTATTCCAAAGAGATTCTGAATGTAAGTGCTGGCAGTGATATAATGACTGAGATTACAGTAGAATAGAATCCCTCAGGCCGGTATTCTCCTGCTGTTCTCATTGAACTTCCAGAGAGGCCAGAGATGAGATAAATTGCTTAACCTGAAGTTTGCTATGATTCATCCTTGATGGCTCTGGCTCTGTTCACATTATATCACATTTATTTATTTCATTTTCTCTTCCATGAAGCAAAAAGTTGGCCACACAGTCTTCTAGGGAGATTGCTTAACAGCATAAAGTTTGCAGATCTGTGTTACCTGGTCAAGTGATTTAACACTTAGAGATATTAATTTTACTTTTAAAAATGATATTTGGGGGAGTTTTAAATTAAGTGTTTCTGCCTAAATATGCCATAAGGTCAGATTAGTCAGGATGTGATCTTAGTTCCCATTCCCCTCCTTCTCTTCTGACAGCTGACTCCCCCAACTCTCCCTCCTCCCCTACCTGCCCTCTACTCAGCAGTAATAAAAATACTGACTGGTATGCCGAGGAATACAGCAATTGCTCAGATACTCAGTTCAAATATTGTTTTTCTGTGCCAATGTTTTGCTTCCTTTCGGATGAGAAATGGAATAGAATTTTGAAGATAAATAATACGGGCACAGTAAATTCTTTTGGCTCACTGATCCCAGGCTCTACAAAGCTCTCCCTTAAATGATAAGACTGCTGTAAGGACTAAGATCAGCACTGATGAGCCACAACATGATGTATCAGAGGGGCTAAGAAACACAAGCGTTGCTGCCCAGCATACCTGGATTCACATCCTGGCTTTGGGGCAAGTCACCTCACTATTCTCTCTCATATAAAATAAGGACAACTGAATGCTTACCTCATGCATTGTTGTGGGGCTTAGAAATGACTTAGCACAGTGCCTGGCATTTATGAAGTGGTCAGGAATTGGGAAACCAAAATCCTGGCTGGAACTGCTCTTTGCCCTCTTTGGAATCACAAACCAACTTCCTACTTCTGAAAGGAATGAAATTTCACTGAGAACCCTCATTAAGACCTCTTCTCTCCAGTTCTACAGTGAAGGGAGATATGCCCATTCCCCAGAGGAAGGCTGATGTCGGTACGCCTCTTACCAGCCTACAGAATAAGAGAAAGCACAGAAGACACTTTTCCATGTACCTCACAATGTGATACACTCCACACCCCATGTAAAACTAGGAGGCCAGACTGGGTTCTGTCTGGTATGGTTTCATGGTGGCTCTACCTGGAGGCCGCGGACTCAGTCTAGAATTGGGTCCTGGTTTCTTCCTGTCTCATAAGCATATCATTTTCCTGTGTATTCAGACAGGCAGCCTTGAGTGATCCATTGACTTACTAGCATATTTCTTCTCTTCTTCCCAGTCCCAGGAAATTTCATTTATCATTGCCTAGGTTCTCCTTTACTTTTTATAATTATAGAGATTGTTTTACATTTTAAAAAATGTAGGAAAAACAAAGGAAATGGATTAATAAAAATTGTGAGTAGGAAGTTAGAATCAGAAAATAGAATTAATAAATTAAATGTACATCTGCCTGGCTAGTCTATTAATAGAAAGGCAGACATACAAATACAGTTAAGAAAACATATACTTAAAAACAAAAATAAATAAAAATATAAACTTAAGACTTGAGTTGTATGTACAATTCTGTGCCAATAAATGCTTATATCTCAATAACAGCGATGCCTTATATCAAAAATTTTTTTAAACATGTAGCAAAGCTGAATATATGAATGCCAACAGAATAAAATTTTAAACATGCCAAAATTTATCTCAAAAAATAGTACTCAGGACCCATAGCTGTGGAATAGTTTTCCTCAAACATTTGAGGAATAAAAAATCTCAAACTATATAAAATGTTTCAAGGCCTCTTCATAAATGAAAAACTTTTCCATGCATATTACAAACAAGAAAAATATGGACGTCAAGAATTTAGAAAGTGAGTCCGCATAAATACCCATAAAAGCACCCCAAATAGTAACAATAATCTCACTTAGCAGTGTTGATGCAAGCATAGAGAAACAAACTGGTAGATTTGCCTACATAAGAATAGAAATTTCTATCAGAAGTAAAGACTGCAAAAAAGTTTGCCATATAGGAGACTCAAATGTAAATGCCCTTAATACTAAAAAAGATGAGCTTCCCAAAATCAAAATGAGAGAGGACAAGAATAGACAACTAACAACCAGCAATCAATAGACTATGTGCAGATAAATGTTTCCAAAAACTCATCAGTAGGATCATTTTTTAAATGATACAGCATTTTTCTCATATAAAATTGGCAAATGTTTTCCAGGAACTTAGTCTATGTTGATGAATGTAGAGCCTTTCCTGTAATACTAGTCAAAGCATAAACTAGTATTTTCTTTCTGAAGAGTAGCTTGTTAAAGATGTATTAAGAGCATAATAAACTTCAGACCCAGTCATTAATTACATTTTCTAGATTTATAAAAATACAAAGATTTGTATATAGGGATGTTCATGTCAGTAATAGTTTTAATAATGAGAAACTTGGAACTAGCTAAATATGCAATACCAGAAGATTGGTTTAATACATTATGTGCCAGCCATGTTTTTGAAACACCTTAAGTAGTGATGGAACATGTTTGTAATTTAGTATTAGGATTTTTAAGGCCAAAAAATTGTATACAGTATTGTGGGTAAGATCTTTTTCTCTTCCATAAGATAATCTGACCTCATAATTTTCTGCCTCTGTTTCCCTAGAAAAAGATAATATGTATCAATTATATCACTAGGTAAAATCGAGCCCTTATTGGTGAATTGCATCTATTCTCAGATAATTGTTATAACCTGAGAGAGTGCTTCTGCTATGACTTCCAATAACAGTGACTCTGGTAACTTGGTGTATCTATTGTGGGACCCTGGAAACTATGCCTATGGAGCTGTTACATCATATATTGACTCCTATAGGGCATGTGGCTTTTCAGCCAGGGTAACTCCTGCATCCTCTGAAATGTATGTAGCCTCCATGCACCTGAGCTGTATTGCTCTGCTGGACCACTGCAAGGACATGTGCTAAAGATAAATAGGTAATGCTACCCTGCCGGCAAGTTGTGGTTTCTTCCAAGTGGACCAGCACCAAATGTAGTCTGTGGGTCTGAATATTTAATAAATCCTAAAAAGATACATTGTAGATAATGCAAGTATAATCCCAAATTTATAATTATAAAAGGAATAGAAAGAAACTAAACATTTTCAACTATTATTTCTGAATGGTAATGTTAGTTTTTCTTCATTTATACATTTCTTTCCAAATTCTACATGAATGCATATTATTTTTAAACCAAAGACATACCTCTAAAACAAATTTTATAGTCCATTTATTTTGGCAATAATTACAAAATGACAAAACTTTAATAAGCCTTGAAAATGGCAATTCTAATAAAAACACACTTCTCGTCACCTATCAAGTGATAGGTCTTCTTTCATGTTAAGATTTTCAGCAGAAGCTCTTCTCCAGGCTACAGCTTTTGATCTTATCTCTTCCATTAATTCATTTTCCCCAAATGACACTAATTGAAATGTAGAACAACTGCTCCCATGGAAGTCAATGGTCTGTGGACACAGCACAAAGCACCTACACTTCTACTCTAGTTCTCAATTAGGAAACCCTGATTCGGTTTTTCATTCCTTTGCTTCTCTGGGTGACAAATATGACTGATAATACTGACAAACCCCCAAATATATTCCATCAGTGATGTTCACAAGAATAACATCTTTTAATATACTTATATTGTGCAGGGATGACCTAATTTATCCTCAGAACTGCCAAAAAACAGAGAAAGTGTGTGGTCCAATTTCTTTCATTTTGAGTTGAGACTGTTGAGACTCAAGTTGGTTAGATGATTTGCTGAAGGATCCACCTAGTTCTGTACATGATGAGACAGCCACTCATTTGGTTCCACTTATTTTCCTCGCAAATGAGTGGCATTGCTAGGAACCAGGGTTGATTGCAGCTGACAGGTCAATGGCAAAGAGCAGCATGGCCTTCCTGCCCTGCTAATGGTGCTTGATTTTCCCTCAAGACCTAAAAGTACATGAACCATCAGCAAGATAGAAAGCAGAAGAACTTTTCTGATAATACTCAGGAAAGTTTCGCGGGAACAGTTTCCTGAGAACAGGGAGCTGCATTCACTTCTCCTGTCCCATCTTGGTGAGGTATGACCTCTTGCAGCTTCCAAGTGCCCACCTCAGCACACACCCCTGCTTCTAAGTATGCATGCTCCACTCTCCTCACAATATAGTCATCTTTTCCCAGGTTTGATAAGACTAGAGAGGCAGGTCTCGTTTCACAGCTCTGCCCCCAGTAACTGTGTGACCTCTGATAAGTCATGTTCCCTCTGTGGGTTCAGTTTCCTCATCTGTACCTAAAAGAAAGGATTAGGCTAAATGATCTCTAAGAACCTACCAGTTCCCGGATTCCATGAAAACTGGAAAAGGAACATTCTGATCGGAAGCTAATATTTGGAGCCTTCCAAACTCCCGAGTCACGACTTTCTGGAGTTTGATTTTACACCTCTGTGCTGGATTAAGTGTTTCACAGAACTGCACAGTTGTTTATTCCTTCTTAAAACCATTTCCTGTTCTCTATGGAGTATAATGAAGTTGTAACTCCTCT